GTTGTTGAAAGATTTTTTGGCATTGCACATGTTAAAGAAACAAATGCTCTATCTCTTAAAAAGGCTCTTTTAAACATATTGTCCTCTAACGGATTGAGTTTATCCAAGATTCGAGGTCAAGGGTAAGATGGAGCAAGTAATATGAGTGGTCAGTTTAATGGGATTAAAGCATTAATTCAAAAGGAGAATCCCTCTGCTTTTTAGGTGCATTTAGGGGTAGACTTGGGCCGGGCGGCCCGACCCGGTGACTGTTTGAACCGGCCCGAACCGTCGGCCCGGTCAGGGACCGGTCCGGGTAAGCCCGACCCGCTGGGGTTCCGGGCCAGGCTCGGGCCCCTGAAAAGGTGAACCGGCCCGGTTCGGGCCAATTTATCTATTTTTTTCTTTTTTTTTGATTTTTTTATGTTTTTGGGTTGGGCTGGGTTTTTTGGGCCATTTGAGGTGGTGTGGGGTGGTTTGGGGGTGAGGGGGGAGGGTTGGGGGTTAATTAGGAAAAGCCAAAAATAATAATAATTTGAACCGAGGCCCGGCCCGGTCCAGCCCGAACCGGACCCGAGGGTTACCCGGGCCGGTTCCGGGCCTCCCCTTTCATGAACCGAGGCCCGGCTGGGCCTGGGCCTGAACCGGCCCGAGTCCACCCGTAGGTGCATTGTTTCACTCACCAGCTCCAATTGGCTCTAGTTGCTGGTGTGAAGTATCACATTGATGTGAGTACTTTTTTAGGTCTAGTAAATAGTGTGGTCAATATAATTGGGTGTTCCAATAAAAAGACAAGAGTTGCTTCGGGACAAACAACATGCTTATTTGCGTGAAATAATTGAGTTGGGTTTGGTACAAACTAGTACAGGCTTGAACCAACAATCAGCTCTTGCAAGGGCGGGTGATACACGTTGGGGGTAACACTACATGACTTTTACTAGCTTGATGACATTGTTTGATCCTATTATTGGTGTCCTTGAAACAATGACTGATGACGTTTCTTGTGAAGTTCGTGGTCCGGTAAGGACTTTGTTAGATGGCCTACTTTCTATTGATTTTATTTTGATGCTATATTTGATGGTTGATGTGTCAGAAGTGACAAACGATTTGAATATGGCTTTGCAAAGACGTGATCAAGACCTCTTGAATGCATTAACTCTTGTAAAGATATGCAAAGGAAGATTCGAAAAGATGAGAGACGACGAATGGGAAGGTCTCTTGGAAAGGGTTGTAACGGTTTGTACTAATCATGATATTCATGTGCCTAATATGGATGGACCCTATCACCAATAAAAAAGATTACACTGTCAAACTTCGTTTGTTACGAATTTGCATCATTACAAGACTGATTGTCTTGTTAGTGTTTTAGATTTGCAATTGAAGGAGCTTAATGCTAGGTTTGATGTGGAAAATACTGAATTGTTACATTGTGTTGCATGCTTAAATCCTGCATCTAACTTTATGGATTTTGATGAGTAGAAGTTGTTGAGGATGACAACATTTTATTCAGGCGATTTCATTGATGAGACTGACTCTTCTTTATGCAATCAATTTGCTAACTACATTGAGGATATGCGGTTAGATCCTCGTTTTTTCAGGATTAGTAGGGCTTGTGGATCTTTCAAAGAAATTGGTAGCAACCAAAAAGTACAAGACTTATGGTGTCATTTATAAGCTTGTGAAGCTTGCTTTGATTTTGGCGGTAGCAACTGCGAGTGTGGAACGTGTTTTTTCAGCAATGAAGCATGTCAAAAGCGAGTTGAGGACAAGATGGGGGGACCAGTGGTTAAATGAGCGCCTTGTGACATTCATTGAGAGAGATGTGTTTATGACTATTATTAATGAAGAAAATTTTAGAATATTTTCACAAAAACACGAGCACGAGGAAAAATCAGTTAATGTAGTACTTTTGTTGTACTTTATTAATATACTATGTTTTAGTTTTCAATGTAGTTTTTTATGGACAAATATGCTATTATTGAATTACGTGATTATTGTGATAATTTTAATTTTAATTTAGTTTCAAACACCCAAAACCTAAGGTCTAGATTCGCCACTGACTGAGTGTATGTGTGCCGCTGTCTAGACCCAGTAGTCGTGAGACCCGAGGGTCCAAGTCTATATACTCTATCAGTTTTATTATTTATGTAGTACTCCCTCCGTCCCATTTTGGTTATCTTACTTTCCTTTTTGGGTTGTCCCGGAATGAATGTCATGTTTCCCCTTTTGGTAAGAAATTTGTGGTCTATATCATTTCACTTCATTCTACTCAAATCTCGACCACAACTTTTACTTTTCAACCATGTTATTAATAACCGTACCAAATTGAAATGAGACAACCATTATGGGACAGAGGTAGTAATATTTATTAAAAACTTTATCCTGAGCTCCAGCCCAGCCTTCTTTGTTGTCCTGGCTACGCCCCTGTACACTAGTATCTCGTTGCCATCAAGAGTAATCCCACAACTACTACGACTTATACCCCCATCAAACTTGAACTACATAAACTCAATCTTGCTTTGCCTTAGTTTGAAACCCTTGGTCTTGCTCCAATGTTTGTCGCCATACTTCAAATTTGGCTTTAACATTCGTTTGTGTCTCATCAATCAATACGAATCATCGACAAACATCATGCATCAAGATATATCTTCTTGAATTGACTTCATAAGTTCATCAATGAATATAACAAGTAAGGTAGGACTCAGAGCCGATCTTTGGTGCATTTCGATAGTAATAGGGAACTCTGCAGTCCTCATTACACTAGTACGTACAAACACTTGTAGTGTAAGCATCATACATACCTATAATGATAATAATATACTTACGGGATATGTCTTTTTTAGTTAGGATCCATCAAATGACTTCTCGATGTACCCTATCGTATGTCATTAGTAGAATAATATTGGGAGAAAATTACTACTACTCCGCCCCTCTAACATTGTTACAAGAAGAGATGACGTGATTACAAAAAGTGTATTTATGTGATTGAAATTAATTGATAAAGTAAAAATAAAGTAAAAAGAATTTTGATTCATACAACATTACCGAATTTGATATGAGACAATCTTGGAGAGAGTAAAAACAATGAATTTTATCAATCGAGAACATTAAAGATAAGTTGTCTACCAACACAGAACTTGAAAGATAATGTAGTGTATCAATATAAGGCCCTATTGAGTAAAAACTATCAATGTGAAACCTAAAATACCATGTAATTTTATATTTGTATTTAAAAAAATTAAATATCATTTAATCATATTAAAATAATAAGCTTTCGTGAAGAGAAAACATCAAAAGTTTGCAATAGAATTAATAAAACAAAAAATCAAAATAAATCAGAATTAATGATATTTTAAGTCTTAAATAAATAATAATCACGTATTCAAACTAGAATTTATCTTTCAGAATCATATAGAGTATTAAAAGTGTGTATTTTTAGATTTTGGTTTGACAATGAAATTCCTAAAACCGAAAGAAAAAAAGAAGGTAAGAATGGAGGAATTCCTAGAAAGTTCTCAGCAACTCCTGGTGTAAATAGCCGGCGTATTCATGGACGCAATTTCACCACGTCAAAGGTTAACCACGTTTGCATCCGACATGGCACCATCCTCTCGCCGGGAAATGATACGCCCCATTTTTAATGCTTAACGATACTTTTCCCAATTACTCACAACGCCAACACTCAAAACGCTCACAGCAAACAAAGCTGCAAGGGTAAATTTTGTTCGCTTTTATTAGTCGTCGTTCTTTGTGGTTGGGGATGAACAGAAATGGAGATGGAGGCGGCGGCAGGGGCGGATGCTAGTGAGGGAAGGGGTAGGCTCCAGCCCAGCTCATTTTATTATTTTTTAGTTAGTAATTTAGTATATGTATATGGGGTAATTCTAAATATAGCCCACTTTTTACTAAATACAACCATATAAGTTTTAAATCCCTGATACACCCTTTTTAATAATCTCGGTAGACCGTATGCTTACCTATATACTCAGTATTTCACATCTCCTTCTTCATCTGGCTTTCAGTTTGTGGGATATTTCAACGGTGAGAAATTCTTACTGTATCCCCTTTTACTATATACACCAAGTTTTTCTTCCGTGATAAATTATACTCCCTTCGTCCCAAAATGGTTGGCCAATGTTGACTTGCACGTGGATTAATAAAGTAAAAATTGTGTGGTTGAAATTTGTGCAGAGGAGAGAGAATTAACTTTAGCCACATATTTCTTACTTTAAATAGAAATGGCTAACCTTTTTGGGACGGCTAAAAAAGGAAATTTGGCCAACCATTTTGGGACAGAAGGAGTATTATTCATTAATTCCTTTGATACCTTTTTAATACTTATCACATCGGGATGGATTGTATGCATCAACTTCTTCACTCTTGTTATTTATGCTCTAGACCGGGTCTTCCCACTCAAATGAGGCTCGGTCACTCACACTTTGCACAAGATGTCAGAATCTCAAAACTTTGTTAATTATTTTGTAATTAACAGACGACTAAGGTTCAAGCAGAGAGTGCAAATTTGATGACAAGACACGGAGGAGGAATTCATTGTAGAGTGAACTGACTGCATTGGCTGAGAACAAAGTCCAGTGGGGAAATCCAACCAAACAGAGTCGAGTGTGTACCTTAAGCATTTTTCTTAAAATTATTACCCATGTTTGAGTAGTGTTCCTATCTGAACCTCCAAAAATGGACCTCCGTATGTTCTTGATCAAGTCTAGATTACCCATACCAAATTTCAGCTAAAAATTCCATCGGGAAGGCACTCAAATGATTTTTTGAAGTTAACTGCGTATTTTATATACATATAAAATGCAGTTAACTTCCAAAAATTATTTGACTGCCTTCCGGATGGAATTTTTAGCTGAAATTTGGTATGAGTAAATTAGACTTTATGAAGAATATTCTCAAAAAATTTCATCAAAAAGTTCCATCGGGAAGGGACCCAAACGCCGAGGTCCGTTTTTGGAGGTCCTAATATGAACTTTCCTCTAACCATGTATATGTTTAGTTATCAGGCCACCCCAAAATTAGTTCTCACCCCACCTCAAAAACAATTTCCTGCCCAGTCCACAGCCCAGCAGACTCAAGTTACCCAAATTGGCTGAAGTGCGAAGAGGGAGCCTCGAAGACGAACACCAGGCCGTCTGCCGCCGTCCACTCGTCCAGGGACCTGCGTCGTGCGCCCTTCCTGTCCGCGGCTCTGCGCCTCTACCCGCGCCTCTGCTCCTCTGCGGTTCCAGGTAAACGACTAAACTCTAATTCTAATTCGCTTTTAGATTTTTAATCTATTTTTGTGACTCTGTGTTATTGTGTATTACTTGTATTATTTTTAGGGTTAACCGGTTAGGGAATCAAATAGTGCATAATAAAATAGTGTTTAATTTTTTAGTGCATAATAAAATAGTGTTTAATTTATTATAAATTTATAATGATTAAATATATAAATGAAGATTATAGAATGATTTATTTATTATACAATTGAAGATTAGAGGACGATTTAATTATTGTGTGGACGTGTAAGGAAGAATTGAAAATTCGAATTAAATTTTAAAATAGGGAATACTTATTAGGTTTATGTACAACAATTTTTTTTTCTTGTTCGTTTTATAATTTTATAGGAGCATTTTTAATTTATACCAATATTGAAAATGTTTTTTAGAATGGATAATGAACATATTGTCAAGAAGAGAAAAATGAAATGAATATTTACTTGTATGAAATTGAGCTTGATTTTGGTTTGATAGATTATCGGTGTTCGGTTTTAAAAAATGATAAACATGCTCGAATTTAGAAGTTTAGACTATACTCGTTAATAAATTCATGTTCGAATATCGAATATTTAATAATCAATTAATCATTAATATATTTTAAGATATACTTCATATATAACTTATTCCTATAATTTGTAAGTGAACGATAGGCTCAAGTCCGGATCAAACCAAACCTCACTATGTTCGAAGTGGGCTTGAATAATTACTCAAACTCAAAACCTAGTCTGTGTTCAAGTTTGAAGCTCGTTAAGCTCGGATCATTAAATTAAAGGCAAAATCAAGCTCTAACTCGAGTATATAATTCGGAAAGAGCTTGATTCGATAACAGCGTTGGGCTAAACCTTGTATGTTGTATGTATAGTAACAATTTTTTTTATTGATTAGCCCACCCCATATGTCAATCCTGGATCCGCCCCTGGGCGGCGGAGAAGGTGCAGAAAATCGGGAAGTTAAAAGATTGGTGTATATGTGGGGGTATTTGCCGGGGGCTTCACAGAAACGTTCTCCGTTACTCTCGGCGGTGGTGGTCAGACTACCGGAGGCTGGAACTTTGTGGAAGGACGTTTCCGGTGGCGGCTGTGGCTTTGCTATGGCCATTTCAGGTTACAATATGTCGTTTTAATTTTCTTTTTGATTTTTTCCTTTTATTTTATTTCTTCTCGTAAAAGGCTTTGCTTTTCCGTAAATTTGTTCGACCTTATCATATGGGACGTAAATCTTTTACGAGTACTATATTGTGCATTTTCTAATAGTCTTACAATTTGAAGATATTGTTTCATTTTCAGAGTCGTAACTCAAAGAATTAAGGAGAGTCTTGGACCCAATTACAGTTGAAGTAAAATGGTTATTGCAAATGAACCTGAAATAGTATCTTCACGAAAAAATACAACTTTTTCTAAAAGAACATTCGATAATATCAGAAGTTTTGCAACTGGTACTTGAGTTCTAGTTTATGGTATGCTGCAAAATGTCTGATATATTGATAAATGCACTAATGCAGTTCATTTTTATGCATTAATAGATTCTGGAAAGCTTATTACCTGGGGTTCAACAGATGATTTGGGCCAAAGCTATGTGACTGCAGGGAAGCATGGGGTAAGGCGGTATTTTTATTAAACATATCTTTGTATTGCTTAGTCATGTTCCAAACTAACTTGAATTTTGTTGCAATTGGTTTTTGTAAGGAAATGCCAGAGCCCTTTCCCCTTCCTGATGAAGTCTCAGTTGTAAAAGCTTCAGCAGGCTGGGCTCATTGTGTAGTTGTTACAGGTACACCTAAGAACCTCATGACTTTGTAGATTAGTTTTGACTAAGAAAAGGGTTCAACATTGTTTGATCTGTACTAAAGGGATGGTTCAAGACTTCAAGCAATTTCCTTTTAATCTAATGTTTGCTCAAGGCCAAAAGGTATTTTCACCACAAGATCTGTTATATGATAAAGCCACTAAGAGTCCATTCGGGCTTTCATTTGTGTTGGAAAGGTTCTTGTTTGCCCTAATGCTATCCCAAATAAATTTTAGTTTTGGGCAAAACCTGATTGGAAATGCTTAAAGTCAGTGTAACACAAGACTTGGCATGATAGCGACTAGCTTACGAGTATAGTGAATTGCTTTGAGGAAAAACTGTTTTTTTAAGCACTTTAGATTTAGATCGCAATTTTCAAGCTCAATGCAAAGCACTTCTGAAAAATGCTTTTCCAAAAAGAGGCTTTTTCCATTTAAAACTTCAATCTTGATCAAGCTTTAATATATAATCAAAAGGTCATACCAACAAAGAGTCTATTGATGAGTACTGACTGAAAAAAATCATTATAAATTCCAGAAAATGGAGAGGTTTACACATGGGGATGGAAAGAGTGCATTCCTTCTGGGAGAGTTATTGGGGATCCATCTATGGGAATAAGCATTGGGAACATTGAAAGCGAAAAACAGGAATCACTTTCTATAGAACCAGGTACTTTTGCATTGTGACCTAGGTTCAACAAGATGCAGTCTCATGCATGCTATTTTATAATGTAAAGACACTGAAGCTTAACACTCATCACAGTTAGCAGAGGTGTAGATGATGGTGCAAAGAGAAGGCGCACATCATCATCAACATCATTTAAACAAGCAACAGATGGAGCGCCGTCAACTGATGAGATTCCTACTGCTCTGCCATGTTTGGTCACATTGAACCAAGGAGTAAGAGTTCACAGTGTTGCAGCAGGGGGCAGACACACTCTAGCTCTGTCAGGTAAATTCATCATATCATGGACTATCCACTTCAGTGGAGCCATGAGGTTTGAACTCATAAAGAAATCCTCCCTCCGCCTCCCTATCTTTGTCCATTTTTAACTTTTTCGTACGTCCCATTAAGTTTGTCCCATATCATATTTGGTAATATTTGGGTGGTTACAATGCATTCTTACTTTATTCACACTTTATCAATTTAATACCATTCGGACAATTCCACTTTTCTTAATAACCACACCACTCCATCTTGTCCCAATGTTAGGGGAATGGAGGTATTACTATCTACTATTCCCCCACCAAAATGATTAATATTTTCCAAAGTCTTTGAAATAAACCAAAGAAAGCATCTACAATTTTTTTGAAGACATTATATACATTCTAAAGTTCATTCACTCATAATTTCCATTACTAATGTATAATTATGAGATACAAAAGGTTTATTTATATTAGTGTATATATGGATGAAAATACAAACAGTTAAAAAATTATGTGCTAAATTGAAGTTCTGAGAATTTTCAGTTTACCCATCGTAACTTCCAAAGAAAAAAGTAAAGGAAACTATATGTTAGCGGTTATTTAAGTTATTAATTATTAGTGCACATAATTGATAAATTTCAGATTATTTGTGGCTTCTGCATGCATTGGTGAAATTAGAAAGAATTCACTGTTTGCGTGTTACTACGTATTTGCTAAGTTGATTTTCATATTTTTCAATTTAAGCCCTGTAGCTTAGAATCTTAGATGAAAAAGAAATGCATGCTGTTGCTTAGGATCAAACTGCTGACTTTTACGTTTTAAAGAGGTATGAATTCACAAAGAAATACAGAGTAACAACTATTTTCCCACCAAAATGAATTATGTTTTCAAAAGTCTGCATAATATCACAAAGAAAGCATCGTTTTTTAAAACAAAAGGTTTATTTATACTTTTGTTTATATATTCTAATTCATTTACTGTCAGTTTCAATTGCTAATAATTATGAGATACAAAAGGTTTATTTATACTTTTGTATTAATGGACAAAAATACAAACACCTAAAAATTATGTGCTAAATTTAAGTTCTGAGAATTTTCAGTTTACCTATTGTAATTTTCAAAGAGAAAAGTAAAGGAAACTATATGTTAACGCTCATTAAAGATATTACTTTTGAGTACACATTGATAATTTCAGATTAATTTGTTGTTTGTGCATGAATGAATGAAATTATAAAGAATTCACTGTTTATATGTTATTTGCTAAATTGAAGTTTTCATATTTTTCAATTTAAGCCCTGTAGTTTAGAATCTTAGATGAAAAAAGAACTACATGCTGTTGCTTAGGATCAAACTACTGATTTCTATGTTTTAAAACCATGTGTGTTACACACTTACACATAACTATTGCCTCTTCCTGAACAACTGTACAAATTCTGAAAAAGGCACACTCACATATTTATTTTATGTGATATGCATATATGATAAGTATATACATAGGTATAGTGGGGGTTGGGGTTGGCAGGTAATCTCAACACCCCTGGTTCCACCAATATGCTCTCCAAGTGAGGATGATTAATATATTTATGGATCATAAGACTCATGGTTGTGGACTAATGAGGTTTATAATTTGATAAGCTTCAACATAAAAGCAAGGCTCTTGATTTTTTTATTCCTGCAAAGTTCCAGATGTAGGACAAGTCTGGGGATGGGGGTATGGAGGTGAAGGACAACTTGGTTTAGGGTCCAGGATTCGCATGGTATCCTCTCCACAACCCATTCCTTTTTTTGACTCATCTCCCTTGGAAAATGATAGTGCTTTGGCCATTTCTCATGGAAGCACGGGTTCAGAAGGACAAGGCCATGTAGTTCCAGGGAGTTATGTGAAAGGAATCGCCTGTGGGGGTCGGCATAGTGCAGTTGTTACAGGTACTTGTAATAGTAATGAGGTGTTTATGTGCTAATAAAAAATTTACAAGCATGTCTGATAATTTATGGTATAAATCTTCCATAAAGTGTTAGCAATTAAAGTGTTAACAAAAATGCTTCCATAAAGTGTTAGCAATTAAAGTGCTTTTCTGAAGAGAAGAAAACACAAATCTGCTGTTTAGTTAAATAATAAGTGTTGTTGCTGCTGCTTCACTAACACAACTTTTTTCACTATTCTGCTAAACGTCTATTGCTGTTACAAAAGTACCTTTTCTTCTTCTAAAGAGAACTTATTCGTTGAATATAATCATTCCGAAATCCTAACGTTCTTTTTAAATTTGCTGATGACATATAATTTTCTCTTAACTTTGTTGTTCGTATTTGAGATGTCTAGTCTATATGCTATTGTGTAAAGTTTATTCACCCTTTTCCCCTTTTCTTCTACTGATTTTATTGTAGATGCTGGAGTAGTACTTACTTTTGGTTGGGGACTTTATGGACAGGTGAGCATCTTCAGACCATTAAATTATGAAGTTATTTTTTTCAAAGTGATACGTTTGTTTAGAGCATCTGGATTTTGCTGTCTAAGATGTTTGATTATTTTCCATCATTTGCAATGGATCCAAAGATTCACTATTTATTGGCTTGGGAATATGATGTAAATAAAGCGAAATGATTTACTAAACTGTTTATGCTTGTTTGTAATGAAGCAGCAGTCAGTTCATGCAATTTTCGAAGCTATTTTCACCCTGGGTCATCCGGAAACAGTCTCTCCCTCTTTAGTACAGGGGTAAGGCTGTGTACATGGACCCCCCTTACCCCACCATAGGTGGGAGCCTTTGCGATTTTCACATTGGGTCATCCGAAAACAGTCCCTCTGTGCTTTAGTATTTGTAAAATGAACATTAAGGTATACACCATCAAAAGATGGGTATAGTTGTATTACCAAAATATGATTCTAAATCTTGATTGATCGGCTTACAAATAAGTATGCTATAGAACATTATTTTTCTTGCGTAATGCATCTCTATTTGTTAGCCTTATACAGAGTAATGACTATATGTTTAGTTCAATCTAGTTTTTCTATATTTGTTTTTCATTTTCAAGAATAAATTAATAAAATAAATATGAAATATCACCCCTTCCCTCATAATCCTCAAACCAAACCAAACAAGGACAGTGCATTTTGTGTTTCATTTTTATGTCAATGTATTCCTTATTTCTTTGGTGAAGGAACTCTATTTTTAGGACTTATAAATAAATTTGTATTTACCATATATCTGCAGTGCGGCCATGGAAGTACTGATGATGAGCTAAGTCCCACATGTGTATCTTCATTACTTGGCATCAGAATAGATGGTATTGCGGCAGGACTATGGCACACATTATGCATCTCTGCTGACGGTGATGTCTATGCCTTTGGAGGCAACCAATTCGGACAGTTGGGAACTGGAGGGGATCAAGCAGAGGTACTGTATAATATGAAAATGTATCCTGGATACATCCCCTTGATCCTATTTACATGTCTTCGTGCCCAGATTTGCTTGACCCTATTTTATTTTCCCCTTAAAAGTTCATCTTCTTTCTTGAATTTTACCCTTCCTATTTAAATGGGCAGTTACTATTAAGTGATTACTCTGGATTAAATGAGGGCAGTCTAGGTAAAATATAAAAAGTTTTGATTAATTTATCACTCAATGCATTTCTTGAAGGGTGAGATTTGTCACTCCATTTTTTGATTAATTTTTCACTCCAATTTATCCTAGTTTGCTGCTCAAACTAGGATAGATAAGTAGGAACACAGGGAGCATTGCTTAGAATAGTGTAATGCAACACTGTGATTTATTGTGATTTGTGCTTGATGTTACTATCACTTTTGTGCATTTCTATTCTTTGTATTTGTGGCAGACTCTACCCCGGCTTCTTGATGCTACCTGTTTGGAAAATGTCAATGCAAAAGTTGTATCATGTGGAGCACGTCATAGTGCGATAGTTACAGGTATGTCTCAAGTGATTTCTATAGCACAAACTGTACAGTGTTGGTGGGATAGTAAGTTGTATAGAGATGATTATCCCTTTCTGGTAAGAGTTAAAATTTTGTTGAAATCGATGAGTAGGTTGTATTTTTAAATTGCGACTAAAATGACTAAATGGGTCGAATTCTGTAGAAGTTATTCGAATTATGTGTTTTAAGAGATTGATTCTATGAATAATATGGGAGTATCTGACAATGAGAGTGGTGTCATTTGCTTTATGTCAGTCATTTGCTATAGTGCAATCAAAATGTAAGATATGTTCTGGTTTTGCATGAGTTTAAGAATATCAAAGAGATAATAGTTATTTTGCAAATTCACCTTCTAAAAGGGTGAAAAAGTAGTATGCGTTCTGTTCTATTTTGCAATTGAATAGGATTTTGTGTGTTCTATATTACTTCACTCCGCCAACTTAATGAATTTAAGGAGACTAAAAATAGGGTTTTGTAAAACTGTTTGGATGACTTTGGTGTTCATTCTCATGTTCTGAATCGGAGTAATATGCCTTTGAGAGTATCGAGTCCATTCCTTGCTTGCCTTTTCATACTGATCTACTTGGTTATGGTTATTCATCTTCTTCCTGGTCAGAGATTTCCCTTAGGGAAACTAGCTCCATTACCGAGACAAGCATTGTGGGGATTGATGTGGGTATGAATTCAGGAGAAATTCTAGAAGTTATGCATCTCAATGTGTCTTTGCTAGCTCAAGGCCATAGTGCTGAGTTCTTTAGGGATTCTTTGGATGAGGAGGTTAAAGACACAACCAGGTATAGGCCTTTGCCAAATAGGGAGTTGCTAGACCGATTGGCAGGTCCAAACTAGAAATCTACTCCTAAATTTCAAAGAAGTGCTCAGCTCAAAGTTAAAATATCGAAAAAATCGTAGAATGGACTCTCTTAGGTTGGAGTTGACAGAATTAGGGCATGAGAGTAATATTTCAGAGAGGGAAGTTTATCGATATGGAAACAAAGACAAACGTGCGAATAGAGACTCCTTCAGAGGTTTGTTGGGATAAATGAGATATCATTTTGAGTGAATCACTAACTAACATTCTCGTTTGTACCGGTTTTGGAATTATTTCTTTTTCGTTGTGATATTTCCACGCAAATTGCTCCAAATAGAAATAAATCAGTCGAAGCGGGCCCCGACACCCACTCCCTATCCTTATTTTGCCTGGTACAGTTCAATGATGAATCCACCGCAAGAGGTATGAGGTCTTTCAAATCAAGATTATCGGCACCATCAAATGGTCTTGTGAACACACTTTGGCCCAAGTAAGGGCACAAAATGCCGTTATGGAGCTGCTAGCGTGTTAGAGCACAAGGATTGGCAATATTTATTCTTCTGGTTGAATGAATCCATCTATCTTGAGCTGACATGCGAAGTTCTCTCCTCTATGAACGTCCTAAAGAAGATTTACGATAATAGGGCCGATCTCATCTCATTTTGGGGTTTTGTCAATAGTTCACTATTTCGACCAACGATTCATTCATACATTTGGGATTTTTTTAACCTACAAATGTTGTCGGTTCCTATCAACCTGATGAGCTTTATGATCCGTTCAAGCACATTGATCAATATCATCTCGATATAGCCGTCGATGACATCCCTATAGACCCAGGAGGCACACATTTTTGGGAGTCTATATGTGAGTAAAAAAGCTACAATGCTTCAAAATCCTAGGCTACGTCACCTCGTCACCGGGAGCTACGGATAGTCCACTATCTCTATGCTCACTCTATCGTAGGACGAGAGTTTACCAGAGTAGTTTGAACAAGTGGATTGTTGTGTCTGTATGGGGTGATCCATAAACATCACATCCATATGGACAACTTTATAACATACTTCTTCTATCGACAATCACAGTCAAATATTTCCTCTATTTTTGTTTGATCATTCATCACATAACTCTTTTGGAGCTTGGGTTTCGAATAACGTTATACTATCGTATTAAGTTATGCATGGTTAGCCGGAGAGCTTCTTTCACGATCGGCAAGCTGCAAGGATGAATTATGAAGTATCAAGAATGACTCGATAGAGGGCTATTGATAATTGTACTCATGAGCAAGGCAATACACATGTTGCGTTTGCATGATTACCTCATCTCCCAACTCTAATTGTTCTACGGTTTCTCCGTTTTGTTGCACCCGACAGAGCCCCATAGGGATTACCCGAATGGTTGGGAAGGGATTCACCAACATCAATAAGATAATTATCAACAAATGAGGGGAGATATCTATGCCCATTTTGCAGCACCACCGATGAAGATGTCTCGGCAGTTTTGGATTTTGGATTCTTGCATGATTTATGTAGAGTCTTCTTGGAGGGACTACTACTCGCACTTTTCACTGACGAAAATATAGGAGGGTTCTCACACGACTTATGTGTTTTTTCGTCGGCGGGAAGCGTGAGTACTAGTCCTTCCATGATCTTTCCACATAAGTCATGCGAGAATCCGAACTCTGAAACTAGCGAGACAACTCCATCGATAGTGCTGCAAAATGGACACCCATATCTCCTTTCATCCGGTGATAAATACCGTGCTAATGTTGGTGAACCCCTGCCACACCATCCAGGTACCCCTTTGGGGCTCTATCTGGTGCAACAAATTGAGAAGTACGAGAATGATTAATTTTAGGACGAGAAAATGATGCAAACATATGTGTATTGCCCTGCGGCCATGATTAGTATTATAAATGGCTCTCAACCAGGTCACTCCTGACTTCCTGATGCTTCATAACTCATCTATTACAACTTGTTAATCGTGCGTAACTGATCGAAATGCTCTTCAAAATCCAAGCTCAAGAAGAGTCGTGTTATGTAGGGTCGAGCAACAAATTCAGGAAATGTTGGACTTTGACTCTTGATAGAAAAGGTATACTATAATGTTGTCCATATGGATGTGTTGCTTAAATATCACCCTGTACAGATACAATAACTCACTCATCCCAACTACTCCAGTTGACTCTCCTCGTCCTTCGATAGAATGCGTAAGGAGATAGTGGACTATACATATCAGAGCTAAGTGATGTAGCTTTAAACTTTGTAGCATTGTAGCTTTTATAACCCTTAGTTATAGACTCCCAAAATGCCTGCCTCCCGAGGTCCATAGGGATGTCCTCGAGTGTTGTATGTAGGTGATATCAATCAACGTGCTTGAATGAGTCATAAGACTCATCATGATGAGAGGAAACAACATCTGTAAGTGGAAAAATCTCAAATGTATGAACAAATCGTTGCTCAAATATTAAACTTTTGGTCAAAACCCCGAAATGAGATGAATTTGGCCCTATTATCACAGATCTTCGGAATGATCATAGAGGGGAGAACTTTCCATGTTAGCTCAAGATATGCGGGTCCAGTCAACCAAAAGAACAAATGTTAACAATGCTCGTAATCTAGCAACCCCATAACGATGTCTCGTGCCCCTTCTTGGGTAAAATTGTGTTCACAAGGCCATTTGATAGTGTTGATGGTTTTAGTTTGAAAGACTTTGTACACCTTGCAGTGGGCCTCATCCTTGGTACTGTACTGGGGCAAAATCAGATTAGGTATTGGGAGTTGTGCTTGGCCCCGCTCTGGTTGATTGTTTTCTCTTTAGAGCCATCTGTGTGGAATCTATTATTAATATATAATACGTAGTAGTAAAAGGATAGAAAACGCCTATTTAACTATTAGTGTAGTAGTAGTAACTAAAGCAAGAGGCCATTAACTATTAGTGTTATCATTTATTTTACACTTTAGTTCAATCCAAATGATATCTAGGTCTCTAGTTATCTACTGCAATCGGAGCCTAGAGGGAGATATTACAAATTGAATGACTAGCACTTTTATTTGTAATTTGTAATCTTGTATAGCATGTTCAGTACTTTTGAAACAAAAATTTCTTGGCAAAAATAATATCCAGAACCCCATAAAACAATCAAACAAATGCCTGCTGCAATATTCATAAGATAAGTGATTCTAACAAGATGAGAAAATGAGCCTTCACAAAAAAGATTTGGTGCAATAATGAAAGCAAAACACATACCTTTAAGGAGTGAGGAGTGAGTGTCTCTGGCTGCGTGATAGCGTAAGTCCGGCGACTGCGTCACAGATTAAGTCCGGAGACCGCGCGCGTATGAGGGCCAACGAGATCTCCGTCGATGAGGAGTGAGGAGTGTCTCTGGCAAGCTCTCTGAGTTCAACCTTCAGAACCCTCATAGGTTACTCACGTACTGCTAGGGCTTTAGATATTGAGGAACACACTTACTGGGCTTCTACAATTTTGTTTTGGAAGATAAAGGGGCGGCGTACTGATTCACTCACTTAGTGGGCTTGGGGAAAATAAAAATAGAATTATATTTTAACGGGCCGGGCCGGGCTGGGTACCCGTTATTTTGAAATCTGGCAACCAGCCCGACCCTAAATTAATTATTACCCGCCCCGCCCCGCCCCATTTTCAGTTTCCTAAAATTAGAACCGCAAATTACCCGCCCCGACCCGCTATTACCCGCCCCGACCCGCGGTTCCGGAACCGTTTGCCCACCCCTAGTTTCAGGCTTTCAGCATCTGAACCTTGATCATAATCACTTCCTCAGCCTTGTAATTCTCTAAGATTTTCACAGCCTTTTCATTTGTCTCGTTGTCCAGAATCTGGAGATTCGCAATATTGTCTAGTCCTTCATATACGTCAACCATCTTAATGCAACCGTTACTGGCCAAGCATCTAATCTGATCATAAAGGCCTCCAGATGTGGCCCTTAGAGATAGCTCCTACAGCCTCTTTCTTGTTGTCAACTTCTACATTATGAAGGAGGTGTACCAAAGGAATAGTGATAGATGCCGCAATAATTGCATTTATAAGAATTCTACTCCCAGCAGTGATTGATAGGAACCTTGTATAATCTGAGCACAAACAGTAACAACCAAACACAGATCTGATAACAAAGATAGGGAAGATGATGTTTATTGATAGGAATAGTCTC